AAATTTTTTTTAAAAATAATTTTAATGAGCATTTACAGAGATTTTGGATTTCCATTCATTCATTGTTGCACTTTTCTCCCTGCCCAGCCCTCCTCCCTGGCCCCCGGTAGGGAATCTTTTTATAACCTCAGTTTCTTTTTTTTGTTCCATGGGTCAATTCAAGTGTTCTTCATCTGTCAGTGTCAGCCTCTGGGTAAGGTTTGGGTTTCTAGGAATTTTTCTGTTTCCTCTAGGCTTTCAGATTTATTGGTGTATAGCTTTTCATAATAATCCATTACTGATTTAATTTCAGCTAGTTCACTTGTGATGTCACATCTTTCATTTATTATTCAAGTTCTTGTGTCTTTTAAGTTTGCAAAAGGTTGTTTAATTGAACCTTTTGAAGAACTTGCACTTGTTTAATAGTTTTGTCTGCAAGTCTCCTTTTTCGTTTCCTATTGTTGTGGATTGCAGTTACGCATTGTGTATCCATTATATAGCTAGTAAGCAGTGGTACAATCCTTGAACATGTACGCATATGCCTCATGACAAACAGATCCAAGTTTTGAGTTACCTGCAATTCTTCTAAGAGTGTAAGGATTCACAAAGTACTATTTGTTACATCCTCATGAAAAACTGAAGATCTAGGTAATTTAAATATTTGTGGTTTTTAATGTTTTGTATTCATGTAGTCTTCATTAAGGAAAATAAATAGCCTAAGCACCAGAGAGAGATACACTCGTAGGAGAGTAGTAAGGTATAAAATGTGATTTTTATCACTTCCTGAGCTAGATTGCTGCCTCACTAAACTGGTGGGTGTATGCCATGAAATTTCTCAGGTAGATTGAAATGCTGAGTACTAAACAAAGGCTTATTATTGTTTTCTATATCTGCATGTGTTATTTGATTAATTTTGTGGTAATTTTTAAACAAACTTCCTTTTTCATTTGATATTATTTACTGTCAACTCCATTCTAGCATTTTTTTAGAAGCTGTTTAAATTGGGTTGCTAACATAACACATTTTGTTTTCCTCTTTTATGTTTCAGGGTTGATACATATCTAAAACTCTATCCATACTCAGAAATGTGAAATTCTTACTCGTTTGTTTGGTTTTGTTGCATTGACAGAGTGACGATAGCCCGAGTCCCAAGAGACAGCGCCTCTCTCATCCCGTCTTTGATTACACATCAGCGTCACCAGCTCCCTCTCCACCAATGCGACCATGGGAGATGACATCAAATAGGCAGCCCCCTTCGGTTCGACCAAGCCAACATCACTTCTCAGGGGAAAGATGCAACACACCTGCACGCAACAGAAGAAGGTTGGTTTGTTGATTACAACTGAAATTCCTTCCCTTGGTAGATTTGGAATTGTTTTATTATTTACTTGGGTATTTTAGCAGAAGAAACCATAAATGCTGGCAAGAAGAACATTACAAACTGTTTAGGATCTTGCACTAGGTTATAAAGGTTCATTTAGCTTATAAAAAACAGGTGGAAAAATTGGAAGAGGCTAAAGTGATTTACCTAAAATCCATTCATCTCTGCCATTTTAGAGGAATTTAGCCACAGGCAGTCTCCGGTTTACAAACTAGATCTGTTCTTGTGTCTTTAGTCATTAAGTCTTATTTCTAGGTAAGTTGAAATAGGTGCATTTGGTTTTTAGCCTAGCAAGAAGGGAGCTCTGGTGTCTTAGTGTAAGGAGCTGTGCTGCCTGCCAGTCCAAAGGGATGTGGTTCAGATCCACCAGCTGCTCCTCAGTAGAAAAATGGGCAGTCTCTTTTGTGATTTTACTGCCTCTGATAACCCACTGGAGGGTCAGCTGTGAGTCAGATCCTACTTGACAGCACACAGAAGTAGTGCGGGAAGGCAACTCTGGTGGTACAATGGTTAAAACATTCTAAAGCAAAAAAAAAATCAGCCTTTGAACCCATTGACTACTCTGTGGAAGAAAGATGAAGCCATCTCTTCTGTAAATGTTACAGCTTTGGAAACATGGGGCAGTTGTGTTCTTCACGGTCACTGTGCATTGGATTCAACTCTTTGGAAGTAGGTTTTTTGGATTTTTTTTTTTTTTAAGTGCAGGAAGAGGCTTCTTGATGCCTTTTCAGTGATTTTTAAAACTTGGAGCAAATGAAGGTGATTGGTATGTAGAGTGTAGAGTGTAGTTCAGTTTAAGAGTACGGGTAGATTTGCAGAAGTTGCCCTTGTTCTCATGTTGTAACATGGGGACTGTTTGTATGTTATGGTTTAAGATGTTTGCTTTGGTTTTTTTAAGCTGGTCTGTAATCCTTATTACTGGGAAATATGTTCTGTAGTACCCAACTCAAGGCAATATGAGATTCTAGAAATTAGTTTTACCTCTTCATACTGCTTTCCTACAACTTTTAAGGAATTTAGAAGGAATCTTCCTATGGCAACTGAGAACTTAATTGGGTTTCATGAAAAACAGATCTTTAGGTATGAATTTATATGAGCAATACCTTTTTTACTGCACTTTCTACCTTTTAATTATTAGCTGAGATCAGACATGTCTTACTGCAGGGAAACAGTGCATCCCTGGTACAGTTGTTTACATGTCTGAGGTATTAGATACTGAAATTTTGGTAGAATTACACTGCCAGTCATTTCTAACTCAGTGGTGATCCTTCATTATGTTTCCAAGACTGAATTTTTACAGGGGAAAATTACTTATTTCTGTTTTCCATGGGAACAGCTAGATTCAAACTGCTAACCTTTTGATTAGTGGTGCAATATGTAATAAACTCTGCTTACCAGAACATCTTAGAAATGTCATTTTGGTATTTTTTTTGTTGTTGTTTGTTTGTTTTTATGGAAAAGTAAAAGAAAAGATTCTTTCATTGTTTTACAAACACTCCCCTAGGTCCCCTCCACCATGCAGCCCTCGCTCTAGTCTCCTGTGATGACAGAAATACCCAGTTACATCTCTCTTTTAGACGGTTCTCTCCCTCCTCTGTTTCAGTGCAGTATACATTATTGAACCCATCTTACTCAGTCTCTCCCCAACCCCAAGGACAGTCCCATTCTACAACAGTGGCATCATGTAATATTTGTCCTTTTGTGACTGGGATATTTCACTCAGCATAATGTTCTCCAGAGTCAACCATTTTGAATAAATCATTTTGGTATTTGGAGCAAGGCACATAAGCCTGTTTCTGAACTATAATTTATTGAGACACTAAGACTTTACATTACCCTTTACCTTATTACCCAATTTTTAAAATTATTTTACATTTAAGTAAAATATCTAGCACTTAATGACAGTATGGTGAGATAGGTTTTTTTAGTTGGCGTTTGTAGTCTAAACACTTGATACACAGACCTTCTTTGTTGTTTTATGGTAAAATCTGTTATAAGTATTAATTTTTTTTTATTTTATTGTTTTGTGTATGTGTACCATCAAATTGGATCTGACTGGTTCAGGAGGAGATTGCCCCTCCTTCTCCAGCAGAGCATCTGGTGGATTCGAGCCACACACCTCTGGTGTTGCCGTGCAGCTTCTTACTACTAGGCCACCAGAACTCCCTTATGAGTATATTCTTAAGCAGTATAGTTTCTGTTTCTATTATAATTTAAATGTGATTTGGTTTTGATTCTGCTTGCATTGTGTTTTCAGTGAAGGAAATGTGGATAGGTATATAAACATTAATATACATCAGTATATTTCCTTACTGTATAGAGAGTCTAGAAGCATTGACACCCTAATACAGTGAACACACCTAGCACCCAGATCTTTATTTCTGAATACCATTCTACAGTTAAAGGAACTGGGAGTCTTTGGAGAACAGCCTGATTCCTGGGTTGGAGCAGATGATAAAACAAGGAGGGCATAGAGCACATATCACAGTGCTACTTACTTTAAAAGTGTTCAAAAAGAAAAAAAAAAATTTAAACGTGGTCAAAAAGAAGTGGTAAAGAACCCAAACTAGAAAGCACCAACGTTGGAATAATTTAAACCAGAAAATAAAAAACCTATTGTGGATTATAATCCACAGTATATCTTCTTTCTTATGGTTTTACTGATTACAAATAAAAAACTAAAGAAATAAATGGAAGGAGTTACAGCTGTTCTCTGCAGAAAAATTTCCATTTACTAATGTGAGAAAATCTGGGCTTTATGAGGACGAATGTGGTGTCAGGATTGGAGGTAGACTCATCAATAACCAACAGTATGCAGATGACACAGCCTTGCATTCTGAAACTTGCTGCAGAAGGTCAAGGACTGTAATCTTCAATATGGATTGAAGCTCAACATCAAGAAAACAAAGATTCTCACCACTGGGCCAATTGGCAGCACCACAATAGATGGAGAAGAGATTGGGTTTGTTAACAATTACCGCTTGCTCGGCTCCACAGTCAACACTCTTAATACCAACAGTCAGGAAATCAAAAGAGAAATTGCATTGGGAAAAATCTGTTAGGTATCTTTCCAAGGTACTGAAAAGGAACAATGTCAATCTAGAGACTAAGGTGCACCTGATCCAGGCCATAGTCTTCACAATTATTTGCTGTGCATCAGAGAGCTGCACAATGACTAAGGATCACAGAAGAAGAATCGATGCCTTTGAGTTGTGATGCTGGAGAAGAGTTGTGATCATACCATGGACCACCAAGAAAACAAATAGGTCTGTCTTAGAGAGGGTTAAGACAAGTTTCTCCTTGGAGGCTAGGATTTTGAAGCTCCATCTCAAATACTTTGGGCATGTGGCTAGAGCTCGGTCCTTGGAGAAGGACATCATGCTCAGAGTGGTGGAAGGATGTTGCAAAAGAGGAAGATCCCAGGTGAAATGGATTGATAGAGTAACTGGGGAAGTGGGGTTAGATGAGTTGGGAATCTGTGAGACTGGCTCAGGATAAGGCAGGCTTAAGAGCTACTGTACACGGTTACTATGGGCCACAGAACAACGGCACATAACAAAACAATGTGAGACAAGTGAGTGAAATAGAAATCACTGTTAGAACATCACTGTAGTGATTGCTGCTTCCACTCGTGGATATTAAAATTAGTGGAGAGATGTTAAAAAGAGGAGGATGTTCACAAAGTTTCCACGTGTCGTCCCCCCCCCCAAACATTATTACAAAGAGAAGAATAGTTAGTTGGGTCCTGGCAGATACCATTTCATCCAGGTTATTGAGAAGATAAGGAGACATGACAGCTAGATTCAGTATAGGATCTTGAATTGCAGTCTTTAAGAGAAGACAGGTGAAATCAAAAGAGAGTCTGTAGTTAATAATAATCAAGGATTATTTCTTAAATATGAAAATGCTCTATGGGTATGGAAGATAATAATATGAAGAGAGGCTACTTAAAGGTAAGTAGACGCTCTTACAATAAAATGATCTCAAAAGGAATTTTTTTTTAAAAAAAAACCTAAGATGGGTAGCTTCCCCCCCACCAGTAAAAATTTCATTAAATAAAGTATGTAGAGTTTGAAGGGAAAGTGTGAAAAAGATAAAGATACAGGAAGCAATTAATGGATTAAGAACTGAAGAAGGGGAGTACTATTGAGATACTAATCTGACAAAAAATTGTTGTTCTACAAATTAGAGAGCAAGGAATTAGAATAAACAGGTTTAGAGGTAGAGAGTCAGAAAAGTGAAGAGAGGTGGCTTGGCAGTGATAAATTGTTGAGGTGGTTGTGTGCCACTATTTTTGGAAATGGGACATTCATCCACCTTTGCCCAGTGTGGAGTATTAGCACAGCATATAATGTCATTTTACTAACTGAAACGTTGATGATTTTAATGCACCTGCTGCTTTCCAGGAGAAACATGAGCAGTCTCCTTCTATCAGTATCTACAGCCTCAGAAACCCACATGAAGGTTTGCTGTGAGTTGGAATCAGCTCAACAGTGTGGGCTTAATATTTCTAGAGGAGCCCTGGTGCTACCATGGTTAAAGAACTTAGATATGAACCAAAAAGTTGATCATTTGAACCCACCAACCATTCTTCAGGGAGAAAGCTCTGGCACAAAGATTGCTACCTTGGCAGCTTTGTGAGGCAGATTGGGTCGCTATGAGTTGGAACCAACTCACAGCTGGCGCTCCAGCAGGTTTTCAATTCAAGGCTGTAAATCGCATGAGGGGAGATTAATAGTCTTTGTCCTTAGGAGCTTCAGCAGCACAGCTCCCTGTGTTAGCTTTCTTTGATTGTTACTCTTCAAAACTGCTAATGCAATGAACTTTTGAAAAGCCAGTTGAGATAAATTGGGAAGTGTACAAAATTAGAAAAGAAACAAGGTCATTCTCAATTTTTGTACAAGTGGTTTGGTTTAGTAAGCAGATTCAAGTGGAAAATTCTAGATTCTTAGACCATGTATGTTTGCTCCATCTCTTACTCATTTCCATTCTGAACATTTACTCATTTCTTCCAATATTTATAGTTGTAAAAAAGTTATTTGACATGTTTTCTCATTATTTTGTGTTATTTTCTATTCTCATTCTAAAGTGCAATTTTGGATATCTGGAAACTATGTCTTATGTTTTGACTCTTGTTGATTGCCTTCATGTCGAGCACAGCTCATAGCAACCCTGTGAACAAAAGGCCTAAAGCCCCTCTACAACTATCGACACTTGCCAAAGTTCATAGAGTTTCTGGAGACATGTTATTCCTGCTTCCAAACCTGTCATAGAATGTTGTTGGTTGAGTCGCCTGAGATGGCATAGGGACCCTATGTACAGCAGCTCTGAACCCTGTCCTGTCCTGAGCCAGTTTCACTAATTCTGACACACCAGTCCCCATTGACCCAGTCACTATCAGTCCATCTCATTCGGGGTCTTCCTGTCCTGTGCTGCCATCCAAACTTCCGAGTATGATATCCTTCTCCAAGGACAAATCCCTCCAGGCCACGTGCCCATAGTAAGTGAGGTAGACCTTCAAAATCCTAGCCTCCAACAAGAGACTTGGTTTCACTCTCTCCAAGACAAAACTTTGTTTTCTTGGCAGTCCATGGTATGTTCAAGACTCTTCTCCAGCACCCCAGCTCATAGGCATTTATTATTCTTCTCTCATCCTTAGTCATTGTCCAACTCTCTGAAGCATAACAAGTAATTGAGAAGACCATGGCCTGGATTAGGCACACCTTTGTATCTAGACTGTCATTGTTGCTCTTCAGCACTCTGGAGAGGTCCATGACAGCAGATTTTCCCAATGCAATTTGTCTTTTGATTTCCTGACTGCTAGTGTTAAAAGAGTGTTGATTGTTAAGCTTCAATCTATATTGAAGACTACAGTCCTTAACCTTTTGCAGCATGTGCTTCAGGTCATCTTCCGTTTCAGCAAGCAAGGCTGTGTCAAGAGTCCATTAGGTATAATGAATATCAACAAGGTCTGCAGGTTAAAATGTTTTCTATTATGAAATTGTTGTTGTTGATTGCCTTGAAGTTGAGCACGACCATAAACAAAAGGCCTGAAGCCCTTCTACAACTATCAACATTTATCAAAGTTCATAGAGTTTCTGGAAGCATGTTGTTTATGAAGTGGAGAAGGGAATAAAATAATAGATTGAACTATATAAAGCTTCTGTTACTTGCAGGGTTTTGGTTTTGGGTGTAGCCCCCCCCCCCCCCCCATATAAAAAGGTGATTTAACCTGATTCAAAGTCCTCTATCCCAAAATAACAGTGACATTGGATAGTTAACTGGTTTTTTTTGTTTGGGTTTTTTTTTGTTTGTTTGTTTTGTTTTTGTTTTTGTTTTTGTTTTTCAGCTGAATACCAGGGGATTCTTTTGGGTTTTTTCAAACATATGCCTTAAATTTTTAGAACTGATGGTGGACCTTAGCAGTCATTTAATACTGAAGCTTACATTAGCAAATGTGGGTAGCAAAGAGATACAGTCCTGGAAGGTCACAACAGTAAACATTGTATTAACCTTCTGTTTGATATTTCTTATATTGCAGTCCTCCTGTCAGGCGCCAGAGAGGAAGAAGGGATCGACTGTCTCGACATAATTCCATTAGTCAAGATGAAAACTATCACCATCTCCCATATGCACAACAGCAAGCAATAGAGGAACCTCGAGCCTTCCACCCTCCGAATGTATCCCCCCGTTTGTTACACCCTGCTGCTCATCCACCACAGCAGAATGCAGTAATGGTTGACATACATGATCAGGTATAGTAACAAAATGCCTTGTAAAATCATATGCTAAAAGCAAGTAGTAGTTTATTGAAACTTGAGGGGACCAGTGGGGGAAAGAGGAGTGTGGCAGATTTCTTCATTTATTTATTTTTAGATGTAGTTTATTTTATATATGTATATTTGATATTTTAAAGAAAGTTTACAGAAAACTTAGATTTCCATTCATTCATTTGTTGCATTTTCCTCCCTGCCCTCGCCCAGTTCACTTTTCTCTTTAAAGAGATTTCTTTCATTGTATTCACTGCTAGATGTTATTCTTCTGTCAGATGGGGGTGGGAGGATTGTTGGTGTTGAGGGTTTTTTTAAAAGTACATAATGCTTGCCATGCTCAGCTTCCTGTGCTGCTTCCACTAGTTCTGCTCATTTCTGAGCTGCTCCAGGATGGCTGTGCTCTTCTCAGAGGACAACACATGCAGCCCCTTGCGTCCAAAAGACACACAGCATCCATTCCTTTCTCTGGTTCCTTCAGTCTAAGCTGATAGAGTTTCTTTGGTCTTGTGTTGGTTAAATCCATTTTCGGATTTGCTTTATATGATCATAGTCTCATAAAGTTGTAAATACAAGTGAAAAAATTTTTTTAATAAACCTTTGTGTTGAGAGCCGACCCAGTCCCGGCAGGAGGCCAGGACGTTGCCAGGCCCACTGTCATGTAGGCAGCCAGCCAACTGAGGTTGCAAGACATTGCCATTTCATGCCTCCTAGGCAGGATTCTGATTTAAAGGTGTTCAGTCATAATCCCACAGATGGTAGCTTTGTGCCCTATAGGCTTCTCAGCCAAGCACATATACCTAAATAGTCTTCCTAGTGTATAGGGAGTTGCATTGCTAACACAAACTTGGGCAGTGGCTCCACAGGAAAGACAGTCAGCTTGCAGGTGATTTACAGCCCCTGAAAACCCACTGGACAGTCAACGGTGAGTCATTTCCATCTCAGCCATGGGCAAATAGGAACATTATGTCAGAAGTTGAAAATAAATGAACTGGTAATAACGTAAAGAATAATACTGTATAAAAAATTGAAAAAAGTAGATACCTTTAAGTACCAAAGAAAGCCAGACTGGGGTCCTTTGATAAACCTGTGAAAGATGCTACATCTTGTGGCCTTGCTTAAAGTAGAAAGAAACACAGGGAAGATGACAAATCATAAAGACAAATATGCATACATATTCAGTTGTAAAATATAACTGCCTTATACCACAGATGGGTTCCTTTATAAAACAAATTTATTTCCCCAAAGTTTTGGAAACCAAAAATCCAAAGTGAGAGGTTCAAAATTTCTGTCAACTCTAGAGTGAAGGCTCTTGATGCTTCAACTTCTGCTTCCTGCTTCCTTGGAGATTGCTAGGTGTCTTGGTACCTATTTTATGCCTGTCTAGCATCTTTCTTTTGTTGTTGTTTGCCGTCTTATCGGATCAGACTGGCACAGGAGGAGATTCCCCTTCTTCCAGCAGAGCGTCTGGTGGATTCAGACAGCATGCTTTGGGATTGCAGTGCAGTTTTTTGCCACTAGGCCAACAGAGCTCCCTTTCTAGCATCTTTTGCTTGTTTGTTTAATCTCTTTTGTAGGAATGCATTGTATAACATTTATTTGTGCAATGTCTGATCCATGTGTTTCTGTGGTTCCATAATTGGGGAAAGGGTTCTTTTGTTTTTAAAGGGAAAGTATCCTCTGGTGGCATATAACAACAACAATAATTTTTTTAAAGACTCATTAGTGGTATGGTGTCTTACATGTTGGGCTGCTAACTGCAAGTTGTTAGTCAAATCTTTCAGTCTCCTGTAAAGATTTATAGCCCCTGGAACTTGATGAAGGGTCACTGTGAATTAGAATTAACTCAACAGTATTGGTTTGGTATAATAGTTTTAAATGCCTCAAACCCATATTCTTGTGGAATACTGGATAATTCTAAGTTACTGGTGGGATACAGGCAGGAGAGGCAGAGCACGTGGCTTTGGGTCTCTGATTTTTCAGAGCATACTTGACTCCCTCCTTACTTGATCACTCTGCTCCCGTAGCAACACTTTGATCCCTCTTCCAACAACAGCAGAGCATTAATTACTCAAGTGCAAGTTCAAATTCAAGCTGAAAAAAAAAACCCACCCTAAAACAAGACCATAATTACCAAACTACAACCCTGAGTATATTCCACCTAAATTTAGATACCATCTCAAGAATTGTTGTTAAGTGCTGTTAAGTCGAGTACAACTGATAGTGACACTGTGAACAACAGATCTCAACCCTGTCATTTCCTGTGTCAGCTTCACAATCTCTGACACATTTGAACCCATTGCTGAAGTCACTGTGTCAGTCCACCTGGTTGAGGGGCTTCCTTTTCTCCCCTTCCCTCCACTTTACCAAGCATAATGTCCAACTCCAAGGAATAGTCTCTCTTGGTGCCATGCCCAAAGTAAGGTACACCTCATCTATATATATGAAAACTTAACAATGAGTAAGGAAGGCTGAAGAAGAATTTCTGCCTTTGAATTATGTTGTCTATGAATATTGAATATGCTATGCACTGCTATAGTATGCAAATAAATACAAGCAAGTCTGTCTTGAGGAAACTGCACCGTGAATGCTTCTGATGATTGAGGATTATTGGGAAGGCTCCAACCTTGGATAAGGTCGTCATGTCTTGCTTGATACAGTAGAGTGATTGGTCTGAAGAGGAAGCCCTTCAAGGAGATGGATTGGCATGGTAGTTAGAACAATGAATTGATTTATGAGGTTGGCACAGGGCCAGGCAGTGCTTTGTTCCCATGTATATAGCACTACTGTGAATTGGGATGGATTCCTTAGCACCTAGTGATAACAAGAACATAATCCTGAACAATCTGGGCAGCACTGGTTTTCCACTTGTTATGATCCTGAAAAGCTTACAGTAATGACATCACTTCTGCTAGTCAGTCAAGAGGGTTTAGAAATAGACCACAAAACCCCAGAAACCAATATTTACAACATTTGAAATAAAGAGGACTCTGCAGATATGTATAGAAAGGGGAAACTCTAATAATTGTTGCTGGTACACTTGGATATCCATATGAAACTGGGTCCTTTCCCTTATGCCATTCACCTAAGTCCATTTTTGGTGAAAAATGTAAGCTGAGGACTGAATAACAGGACTTTAAAGAAAGTAATATAGAATCGCTTTATTATGTCCATAGAGAGGGGCTCTCTTAAATAAGATATTTTAAAAGTAACTAAATGGATAAAATTATTGATTAATTAATATAAAGGCCATTTATTCATTCATTGTACAAAACAGACACGAACTAACACTGATCACTTAATTTGCTTCCAAAGCAATTCTCAGGACTGGTGTGGTGGGGAAAATACTACTTAATAAATGGCTATAGGAAGAGCTGGGTATTTATTTCAGTAGATTTTAACTTTTTTGCTGCTTTGTATTATATGCAAATACAAAATTGAAGTTGAATCCTAAATCCACATGTGAAAGTTATTAACAAGAGAAGCTGTCTTCTTAAGATAAGCATGCATAAAGCATTAATAAACACTGACAACACTGGATTTCAGTTTTTCTATTTATGCAAAAGCTCTATTTAAAAAATTAAAAAACATACAACAGTCTGGAAGAAAGTATTTGCAATCCTATATCTAAGTACTAAGATACAGAATATAAAAGTACTCAAAAAATATATATATTTTAAATGGGAAAAAGTTTAAATAGGCACTTTACACTCATAAAAATAAATCATTTGTTATCTGGAAAATCTGCATTAAAATCACCATGAGAATATGTCCACCACAGAGGATACAATGTAAAAGACCAGCAGTTTTAATTCTATTTCTGGTAGTATGAAATGATTCATTCACTTTAGAAATCTGTTGGACATTTTATCATAATATATCTAATAACCATTTGTTCTAGCAGTGTCATTTTACACAAGAAAAATGGGTACATTTGTTTCCTCCCCCTCATGATTGTTCGTAGCAACTTAGTGGCCAAAAATTTGAATTCACAGGTGCTTATCCACTGAGAAACAGATCAACAGATTGTGATATATTAAAATAATGGACTACTACTTGAAACAAAAGAACAAGCTACTGTTGCTACATGGGAAAATATCATTTAATTCCAAAACAGTAAATTCCTGTTAAACCAGACACTAAAGAATACATACATACTGTGTATGATTTTGTTTGTATACTCTTTAAGAACAGGTAACTTCATCTATGATGCTTTAGGACTCTGGTGCCATAGTGCATAGAAAGTTGTACTGTTTAAAGTTTGTTGTATTTTAGTGTCATCGAGTTGAGTACAACTCATAGCAACCCTGTGAACAACAGAGCTGAATCATGTCCTGTCCTGCACCATCCTTAACATCCCTGATATACTTGATCTCATTGCAGTAGCCACAGTTTCTGTCCATCTTGCTGAGGGGCTTCCCATAGAATCTTTTTAAGTATTGGATTTGGAGACCGCAATTTTATTTTCTGTTCTTTTAGCTTAAGAAATGTCAGGGCTGTTCTCTTGGTTTTCTAACTCCAGGTCTGCATTTTGTTGTATAATACTGTACTTTGTCTTCTAGAGATGCCTGCTGGAAATCTTTGTTCAGTTCTTAAACATTCTTCTTTTTGTTACTCCAGTTTTGTAATGACCTTTTAGTACTCCAGTCTTCTGCTAGGCTGGCGGATACATTGTACCTGTTTGCTTTCTATTTCTCATGCATGCATGTTTTAAGATATTTGTGTGCTTGCTTGTTTTATAGTTTGCTTTAATGAGTACAGTACTAGTCTGTCAGCTATACTAGGATGACTACCAGATTGCTAATTGTAATACATTTAACTTATGACTGTCCATTCATTTCAGATTGACCTTCTTTTGACTTAATTCAAACAGTGTTCATTATTTATCCATTCTTTTCCTGCTTTCCCTTCCACACTGCACTTCTCTCCTCCTTCCCCTCCTATTTTTATAATTGTGGCCTTATATAGTGTTTGTCCTTTTGTGAATGAGTTCTTTTACTCAGCATAATGTCCTGATCTCATCCATGATACATAGTGTTTCACGAGTTCAGTGTCTTTCATTGCTGCATAATACTCCATTGTAAAAGTACCAGTTTCTTTGTTCCTTCATCTGTTGATGGCACTTCCTCTGTTTCCATCTCTTTGCTGTTGTGTATAAATAAATGCCACAGGTAATATGGACATGCATACATCTCTTTTGTGTCACAGCTCTAATTTCTTTATGATATATTCTCAGTCTTCCAATAGCTGAATCAAAGGTTACTTCTGTTTTCAACTTTTTGAGGAAATGCCATGCTGCTTTCTGTACTAGTTGTACTATCTTAGATGTCCACCATTGTTGCCTGAGTAGTCCAGTCTCTGCATCCTCACCAACATTGGTGGGTTGGTGTCCTGTTGGGGTAAAATGATAGCTCATCGTCATTTTTATTTGAATCTCTACTAGCTAGTGATCTTGAGCATTTCTTTCTGTGTTTGTTCACCGTCTGAATATCATCTTTTGTGAAAAAATCATTTTCTTCTGCCAATTTTTGTAACAAAACACAACTACAAGGAACAAAAAGATCTAGATAAATGGAAGGCTATACCATGTTCTTAAGTAATATTGTAAAAATGACAGTTCTAACAAAAGCAGTCTGTAAATTCAGTGCAATCCCAATACAGAAACCAATGCCATTTTTCAAGAAGATGAAATCAGATTGACTACATCTATAGAAAAAGCCAGTAAGCATTCAGTACAAGGATAGGGATTAGCAGTGAAACATCGATTACTCATGTGCAAGTTCACATTGAAGTTAAGGAAAAATTTAAAAGTCCATGAGAACCAGAAAAATTACCTTGAGTCCGAATTTATCTAGCCCAGACCAGACTCAGCACCCAGACTCAGCGGTTGAGTCTATCTCAACTGAATTTTGAAATCCTCTCAAGAATAGGTTTGATGTACATTTTGATCAATAAATTTGAGTACTAATAGAGAGCAGTTGGCCGAGTGGACAGAAAGCAGTGCTACCAAGCCAAAGATGGGTTACTTTTAATCTGCCGCCCTCAGGCCTGTCTTTCATTCCTCTAGGTCGTATAGCCCTGATGTGTCCATTTACCATACAGTGGTAACTTGTGGTTGCTGTGAGGCTGAACACTTGTGACACTGATGTGTCAAATGAGATAATGGTTGGTTACCCAAGGCGGACAGTGTGGGCTGGAGCTCCCCGATTAAAACAAGCTTGGAAGCAGGAGTGGCATCTACCTCCATAATAGTTTGCCTCCAGAAACCCTATGAACCTGGAGAGAGGATGAAAGACACACAAGCATTGAGGACTCTCCTTCATAGGATCGCTGAGTTGTCTGCGACTCGACGGTACTTAACAACAACGATAGAAGACCATATGAGTTGTAGGATGACTTTTTTTACACAGGGAAGACTTTTTCTGATGTATGTGAATCAGTATTACCTGACAGCAATGAGTTTTAGATTTACCATCCGTTTAATTATAGGACAATTCTACATTTCTTTAACCTATTACAAAAAAAATAAATAAATTTACAATTATGAAAACATTTCACCATTAAAAGACTAGTTTGGTAACAATTCAGAATAATGGTTCTTTTGGCAAGAGAGTTTGAGGCACAATCATGAAGTCATTTTGACCATGACAAAGTTCACAGAGGTTTCAGCAGTATTCTTTTGGTTTTCCTGTTATAGTTACATGAGCATTCACATAATTGTGGTATCAATATTCACATACTTTGTATATAATTCATGTTGGTTTTGTTATGTGTCGTTGAGTCATGACCCTATGTACAGCAGCCCTAAACCCTGCTCTATGCTGTGCCAGTCTTATCCTACCCCCGTTATCCCAGTCACTGAATCAATCCATCTCATCGAGGATCTTCCTCTCTTGAACTGTCCCTCCACCCTCCCAAGGATGGGTCCCTCCTTGAAACATGTCCAGAATATGTCAGACAAAGCTTCAGAATCCTTGCCTCCAAGGAGCAGCCTGGTTTAACCCTCTTGAGGATGAGTTCGTTCTCTTAGCAGTCTATGGTATATTTTACACTCTGCTCCAACACTACAGCTCTTCTATCATCCCTAATCATTGTCCAGCTCTCTGATGCAGAGCAAGTGATTGCAAAGACCATGGCTTGTATCAGGCACACCTTAGTCTCCAGACTGTCATCATTGCTCTTTAGTAGAAAGGTGTTTTGGGTGTTTTTTTTTTTAACCCAGGAAATCAGAAACTGCCATGTTTTATTAATTCCAAATGTACACTGTTTATACTTTAACATCTCCCAATGTCTTTGTTTCTTAACCTTAGTGTCAGCCAAAAAAAAAAAAAATTGTAAGTTGTCATTGTTTACACATCTATTTCAAGCCTATAGCACTCAGTTGATGGGAGCTTAAATCCTGAGGATACTTTACTCCCCAAAATGAAACTTGATGAGGGAGTATGCAAGGAAATAAATTGGCATTATTTTCCTTGCAAGAGTACAACTCAAGTCATTGCCATTGAGTTGATTTTGACTGATTAAGACTCATCTCAATAGGAGATTGCCCATCTTTTTATTGTGTAAGTAGACAAGTCATGTAATTATAGATCTGGCTTAAAGATCAGCGCAAATGGCCTTTTGGTTATTTTATAGATTCTTTTAAGAAAAACTACATCACTACCCTCATGATGAATGAAACCTTTTGTGTGGGAAAAAGTGACAGCTCTCCAAAAAGAAAGATGTGTCTGGACATGTTACATATTTCTTTTTTTCTCTAGTGTTAGGTAATCTCAACTAGTGTTTTCAATATATTTCCAGAAGACGTTTCTAAATTATAAAGTGTTTTTCTTTTGTAATATATGAAATAATGTATCTCAAATTTGGAAAAATAGCAAAATTATCAACTGTAGATGTTAACTTACTCGTCATATTCAGTGTACATTTCCAGTAAAGTCAGAAACTAAGATCAATACCTTTGAGCATAATTTTTCAATTTGAATCAGAACCATTAAATTATTCAACTTAAAACCAGCTTACCAAAGAGTTCTATTCTGACATTGCATCTATTGAGACCCTACGAAATAACTTTGAGGAATAGATACAGTAGATATTTGAGAAGTATGATTGTATAACTTTTATGATTAAAAGACACTGAAATATTGCACTTGTATTACATTAAAATACATATGATCATGAATGACTAATTTGTGATTATGGTAATCTATTTTAAAATAAAAGTAAGGATATGTGTTCAGCAATGCTTTTTTTTAATGTGTTAGTATTGGCAAAAATGTGAAAACAGCTTGAATGTCCATGGGAATATGAAGTATACATGGATCATCTGGCTAGTATCAAAAAGAATGAGCCTTTAATTCCCTTTTAACAGAAAGAGAAAAGATGGCTATAGAAAGCTGAAGAGTAATATCCTCTTATTTTTTTTTAACATGGTAACAGCCAAATATACGCCGCCTAGTATATGTCTGTATGCTCCCCAGGATTGGCCTCTTTTGCTTCAGCGTAGGTAGGATGGAAGTAAGACTTGAACAGGAGAGATGATGATTACCTTTTAATTCACCTTTCCTAGTTGAAACTGCTGCAGCCTGGGCTTTGTAAGTCATTGAGGAAAGCGTATACCTCTAGTTTGGGGGGGTATCATACCCTCTTTTAGTCTGTGGGTGATGCAAACTGGTAAGGGTTGACTACTAAATGAAAAAATGGCAGTTCAGTTCCATCCAGAGGAACTTTGGAAGGAAAGCGCGGTGATCTGCTTCTACGGATCACAGGTGTTGAAGATCCTGTTAGCGCACAGTCCGCTCTGACACACATGGGGCCCCCTTGATTCATAATTGGCTCAGTAGTAGCTACTTTGTTGTGGTAAAATACACACGATATAAAATTTGCCACTTCTTTTTAATGTGCAGTTAATTCCATGACATTGATTACATTCACCATATTGTGCCATGAACATCAGTGTTTCCAAAAACTTCATAACCCTGTGCAGAAACTATATATTAAGGAACAACTCTTCATGTCACACATACACCCTGCCCCCAGCCCTGCATTGATAACCACTGATCTACTTTCTATGAATTTGTCTATTCTAGATATTATCATGCCTCAGTGGGATCATAAAATACTTCTTTTTTTGTTTGTCTGACTTAGTATTTTCCGATTCCTCTGTGTTACAGCATGTATCACAATTTCATTATCGCTAAATAATGCCATTGTATATATACACCATATTTTGTTTATCTGTTGATGGATATTTGTGTCTACTTTTAAGTTATAAATAATACTTTTATAAACATTAGCACATAAACCTAAATGTTGATTTTTAATAGTGTTGTTAAAACAACTAAGAGTTGTGTGTTTTCCTGCTAGCTCCATCAGGGCACAGTCCCTGTTTCTTACACAGTGACGACAGTGGCACCACATGGGATTCCCCTCTGCACAGGCCAACACATCCCTGCTTGCAGTGCTCAGCAGGTCCCAGGATGCTCTGTGGTTTTCAGTGGACAGCACCTCCCTGTCTGCAGCGTGCCTCCTCCAGTAAGTCTGTGGCTTTGTTCTCCCAAAATCTTATGATGAATGTATTTTATAATTGAAATTTGAAAATCTATTCAGAATGACTGGACTGACTGCATATCTTATATACAAGTATCATTTCTTAAGAAACTTTTTATAGCTTCGGTTCCAAGTTAAATACACAGACACACACTCTAGTTACAACAGAAATTTTAGTAGCATAGTATATATAGTAATCATTCTTAATAGGTGGTATAAACTGTCAATGTGAACCCAGAAGTTAGCATTTCTAGTCCATCTTGCGAGCCTTAGCAGAAAGGCCCGACGACTTCTGGAAAGTCAGTCATTGAAAGCCTTGTGACACTGACACACTTCGAGCGGCCAGGAGTTGGTGTTGACAGCAGCTTGTTCTTTTATATTTTTCAAATTAAGTATTTTAATATCAGACCGTGATGCCTCATATTGACTGCGTACTAATAAAGCCTAGTTAAGAGTGCCTTGGCATAGTGACATAGATACTGGATTTCTTAGAGACCTTGCCACTTGTTACTAGAAACCTTAACCACTGCTGTTTCTCTTCATTGCCAGCCAGTCAAAACTGAATCCTAGCTTACTGTGTATTGGGTTCCCGAGGCTATAGGTGGAACCGTTTTTCTCTTTTATAGTTGGTGGTGGATTCACACTGCCAGAGAGCTCTGGTATTTAGGTTAGCAGTGTAGTGTCCTACAGTTTGTGCCACCAGTAATAACATTGTCAGCACCCAATAGGCTTAAATGAGCATAATTATAATTAGTGCTTTGTCTGATATAGCTTACTGTTGGAAATCTGTGACAAAATTTTTCTGGATAATGTACCTGAAAATTCACATGACTTTCCTGAGATTTTGGAGATAATTACTTCTGCTTCTTTCTGCCTCTGAAGCTTGGTCCAGCTCCCCAACTTCACAAATACATTTCAGTAGGTTTAAATTAATGTCATTAAAATAGAACACTTGGCTAAGCTTAATGTAATCCTCATATTTTCTGGAGAACCCAATAAACCAGATTCAACACATGAAAATGCTGGTAACAGTATAGTTGATTTATTTAATCACGCTTGGTTTCTCATTAGAACATCATAGAGCCCTTGTGCTGAAGTTACCAACTGGAAATAATTAACAAGTCATAAGGCTGTTGTGGGTGGGCTCTTATATAGACACAAACATCTTAGAAATAAAAAAAACATTCTGTGAGATTGACAAGAATGTTGTTGTTGTTTGATGCCATCGTCGTAGACGACTCATAGCGACCCTATGAATGAACGGCCTGAGCTCTGTTCGTACATATAGACTTTCCAGAGGCAGGCCATTTCGGAAGTGGATGCTGCTCCTGCTTCCAGGCTTGATTTAGTCGGGAAGCTTCAGCCAACACTGTCCACCGTGGGTACCCGTTACACGATTGGCACATCACTGTCACAGTCTTCAGCATCACAACAACCACGAGTTACCTCTGTACAGCAACACACAGACCAGTGCTATACCACCTAGAAGAATGTTTGACAGGAAGACAATTTGAACCTGGCCGATGCCCACAGAGGAAAATCGCCCACTTTCGGCTTGGTAGCATAGCTTCCTTTCTACTAGGCCAATGTAGCTCTCTCGGTCATCATCATTGTTATTGTTGTTTGATGCTGTCGAGTCGTAGACGACTCATAGCGACCCTGTGAACGAACGGCCTGAGCTCTGTTCGTACATATAGAGTTTCCGTAAGCAAGCCATTTTGGAAGTGGATGCCGCTCCTGCTTCCAGGCTTGATTTAGTCGGGAAGCTCCAGCTAACACTGTCCACCGTGGGTACCCGTTACACGATTGGCACATCACTTGACAAGGATACTTTCTTTAAATAGTTATATATGCTACATCTTTAAGCTAAGAGATAGTCCTCTTCCCCCCCCCCCCACCTCATGATTGTTAAAAGGAGTTCTGGTGGCCTAGTGATAAGGAACTGTGCTACCAGCACAAAGGCACATGGTTCGAATACACCAGCTTGTCCCTACCCATGCGACTTATTGCCTCTGCAGACTCTGGAGGGTCTGCACGTAACTGACTCACAAAGACCTAAGTAAAAGTTAATGTATTTTGGCTGGTTTGTAAGAACTGTAAAATACAAATGCTGTTGTTTGCCATCAAATCACTTCCAAGTCATAGTAGTTAAAGTGCAACAGAATAAAATATTGCCTGGTTTTGTAGTATCTCCGTTATCGAGTGCTACTGTAACAGAAACACCACAGGTGAATGACTTTAATATAGAAGTGTATTCTTTCAGTCTTTAGGAGACTGGAAGTTCAAATTCAGTTCCAGGTAATGGTTTTCTTTCTCTTGGCTCTGAGGAAAAGTCCTTGTTTCCTTTAACTTGCTGTACGTATGACTTTCCTTGGAGATTGTCATATACCTTGGCACCAGTCTTCCCCCGGGTCTAAAAGATTAACACAGGGAGCATGGATCTCAGGGATGCACTCTGCTCCCAGCTCTTGGAATAGCCAAGGCCCTTTCTCTTTTTTATTTTCTTGTAAGAGAGAAAAAGATGCCAGCCAAATCCTAGGAAAACTCTTAGATCAGGGCTGTGACCTAAATAAGGGTGTTGCATCCCACCCAAATCTCCTTTCACATGGTTATCTGGACATCATGGGAATGACTACTTCATTGCATAATTGCTAAAGCACTGGGAGTCAAGAGCCTGACAAGTTTTGACACATTTTGGGGGAGCACACACAATTGTCCATGCAGGTTTATTTCACTGAGGGTCCCATAGCCCCTCATTGACCTTTGGCTTCACTAAAGATGGTATCCTCTTGGTTCTTGATTCCTCCTGCTAATCTCTTGACATGGTTCTGTTACAGTGACTGATTTTCGGAAGGAGGTAGCTGGGCGGTTTTCCCTAGGTTCAGTCTTGAAGCTTTGCTGAAACTTGTCCATCATGGTGACCTTGATACTATTTGAAATAATAGCTTCCTGCCTTATGGTAACATACAAGCCTCCACATCACAACAAACTGATAACTGGTAGATTTACCAATCACCACCGTTTGAATTGTAATAAACATAAAGAGGTAGTTCATTCTTAGTTTATTGAAGCCCTGGTAGCATAGTGCAAACTGTGCTAGCCTATGGTTGATGGTTTTAGTCCACCAGATGCTCCTCAGGAGAAAAATGATTGATTTTTTACTGTCAAGATTTCAGCCTTGAAACCTGACTGGGGGTGGGGGGGCTGTGAGTTGTAATCAACTTGGTGGCAGGGAATTTGTTTTTTGTTTAAAGTTATTAAAGATCATTGTGTGTCTCTTTTTTTTTTTCTTTTTATTTGTATGTTCTGATCATTTTAACAAAAGCTGATTTCTCTTACAGATGCTTCAGGCATGTTCTGTTCAGCACTTGCCAGTACCATATGCTGCATTCCCACCCCTTATTTCTAGTGACCCATTTCTGTTACATCCTCCTCACCTTTCTCCACATCATCCTCCTCATTTGCCACCACCAGGCCAGTTCGTCCCTTTCCAAACACAGCAGTCACGCTCGGTGGGTACCTTTATTCTTACATCTTTAATTATTCCCAAAATGTTTAGACCAAAATGTCAGGTTAATTTAGAAATACGTTGGTACCATTTAATCACTGACTATAGGTTCTAAAGGAATTTCTAGGCATACAAATTAGTGTAGACATACTTGTTATTGTTGTTATGTGCCGTCAAGTCGTTTGCGACTCATAGCGACCCTATGTACAACAGCCCTAAACCGTGCTCTATCCTGTGCCAATCTCATTGCCTCTGACACACCCATCCCGATTACCCCAGTCACTGAATCAATCCACCTCAGAGGGTCTTCCCCTCCTGCGCTGTCCCTCTACCCAGCATGATGTCCCTCTCCAAAGACCTGTCTCTCCTTACAACATGTCCAAAGTATGTCAGACGAAGCCCCAGAATCCTTGCCTCCAAGGAGCAGCCTGGTTTAATCCTCTCTACGATGAATCTGTTTGTTAGATTATATTTAAATTAAAATTTTTTCTAGTTATTTTATATATTCATTGTCTAATTTAAATGCTGTGCTTCACCATAGCTGCAATCCTGAAAAAGGAAGGAAATTTGCAGCTAAATTTTAATTCCATTGTACTGATATTTCCTTTTGTATTTCTAAACTTCAAAGTGAAAATACTATAAAATAATTATTTGTTACAATACTCTTAATCACTAAAGTATGTTTACCCATCTCCCACCCCCAGCTACACAGTGGGTAAGAGAATTTTAGTCTTGGTGCTACTAATTCTTTTCCTAGCCTTTAGCCTTTTTTGTCATTTCTGATAGATGGGTCTAGACTTGTTTTTATGTGATATTCTTAAGAAAATAGGTGAGATAGTCTAGCATCACAATTCTCTTATGGGCCTAGAGGATAGCGGAGAAGCATACTACTTTCAGGAAGAGGGGTAAGTGGAAGAAGCAGGACAATATGAAGGTCCAGTTGCTGTCTGTGTAGACCAGGTTTGGCATTTGAGCCAATGGATTTTATGATTCTTAAAAGGAACAGAAGAGACAATATGAAAATTGTTTTAAAAGTGCAAAATGTATACACAGATATACATACCATCGTTAATAGTAATAGACCCCCCAAAAAAAATAAAAACAATACAGATTTTCATCAACTGATAGTTGGTAAGCAAAAGTTATTTTATCCATATAGTGGGTTATTCAGTTTTAATAAAAAACTTAGTAATAATACAGTCACAACATAAAAACACTTAAAACACTGCCCTAAGTTAAACTAGTTAGTCAAAAGAGGCTACCTAGTCTATCAATCCATTTTTCTGAAATACTAAGAATGGAAAAATCTGTTTTATAGTATAAACATGTTAATTGGTTTTATAGGTGACAGTTCTGAGATGCAGATTAAGTAATTTCTCTAAAAGTCATCATATGGCTGATTAGTTAAAGCACCTGGATTTTGTCTAATACCAAAGCCCATATTATTTCTGCTACAGCAAATGGTGCTTTCTCTGTCTTATCCCTTACAGATCTTGTTCTGATTTATGCATATTATACTTCATGCTTCTGGTAATTAATGCATCTAAAAATCTTCTGTGTAAGTCAAAGTACCATGAATAAAAACTAATTGCAATGTACATATAGTTGAATGTCTCTTAAAATGAGAAAAGCTTCAAATATTAAAAGAAATAATATTTTAAATGGAAATATTTAATAACATGTTTTAGAAACTATTATTGAAATTAAACATAGAAAGACTTTGCTCTTGTCACTGTGTCCACACATAGTATTTTAGATTCACATGAATGTCAAGAAATGCATGATCTTAAAGCTGGTTTTGGAGTTGTTGAAGTTCTTGTTTTGTTATTATATAAAGTATGGTCTCTTGGAATACTGGCAGTACGTCAGTTTGTGCTTGTTTGTTTTTTAACCCTTAGCCTCTACAGAGGATAGAAAACGAAGTAGAACTCTTAGGAGAACATCTTCCAGTTGGAGGTTTCACTTACTCCCCCTCCGCCCACCCTCCAACGTTACCTCCATCAGCTCCTTTGCAGTTCTTAGCACATGATCCTTTGCACCAGGAGGTGTCCTTTGGAGTAGTAAGTTTTTTAATGTTTTATTGATTGCTTTGATAACTAACTTATTTTGGGTTTTGTTTCCATATGACTCAGTATTTTGAGTTTTTGGTTTTTAGTGTGTTGAGGATTTTAGATATTTTAGAGATTATTCAGTGTGTGTTTAAACTGGCTGTCACATCCATGCTGCTAGTATATAAACAGTGAACAACTTTGTAGGTTTTTGTTTGTTTTGGATTTTTTTTTTAATTTAAATTTACTATTAATTTCAGTAAAAATTGTTTTGGGTTTGTTTTTTTTTTTAAATTTAAATTTACTATTAATTTCAGTAAAAATTTACAGAGACTTTGGATTTCCATTCATTCATTGTTGCACTTTTCTCCCCTGCTAACCCTCTCCCTTAGTACACTATCCTCGTGGAAAAGTAAAAGAAAAATTCTTTCATTGTTTTACAATCCCTCCCCCCAGGTCCACTCCACTATACAGCCTTCGCTCTGGACTCCTGTCATGACAAAAATATCTAATCACATATCCCTTTTAAACAGTTTTCTCCCTCATCTGTTTCAATGCAGTATACATTGTTGAACCCATCTTTCTCAGTCTCTTCCCCCACCCCAAGGTCAGTCCTGTTTTACAACAGTGGAACCAGTGGTATTTGTCCTTTTGTGACTGAGATACCTCACTCAGCATAATGTTCTCCAGAGTCACCCATTTTGATGATTGCATGAGTTCCTTGTTTTTCAATGCAGCGTAGTATTCCATTGTGTGAATGTACCACAGCTTCTCTATCCATTCATTTGTTGATGGGCACTTAGGTTGTTTCCAACTCCTTGCTATTGTGAACAAAGCTGCAATAAACATGGGTGTGCATCTATCTGCTTGGGTGGCAGTTACGGTCTCTTTGGGATATATTCCCAGTAGTAGAATTGCTGGGTCAAATGGTACCTCTATTTGCAACTTTTTGAGAAAGCGCCATACCGCCTTCCACAGTGGTTGCACCAAACTTTGTAGGTTTTAAAGAACAAGAGATTTTATTGGACATGTTAATTAATTTTAAGAGTAAAATTAAATCATTTTAATATTTTCCCTCCTACAGCCTTATCCTCCATTTATGCCCCGGAGGCTCACAGGACGTAGTAGATACAGATCCCAGCAGCCAATACCACCTCCCCCTTACCATCCCAGCCTGCTCCCATATGTGCTGTAAGTATTGCGATTTTAATGAGTTCTGATATGGGGCACATGTGAGATCTTCATTGCTTTATTTATGTCTTCTGTGGGTGTTTGAGGTATTTTTGTTTAAATTCTTATTAGAGGGTTGGGAGAGACCATTAAAGGTAAAAGAAGTAGAAGAACAAAGAAATTGGAGACGTGTATAATGAAGAAATTTGTGAATCAAGATACATGGTTTACAAATCAGGGAATAGTAAGATAATATTAAAGATTTTGCTTCTTTCACAACTGATAGTACTTTTTACGTCTCAACCTTAGCCAGCTTTGAGACGATTGCTTCACTTGGGAAAAAGTGAAGTTGTTTCTTTGTCTTAGAGCTCACTTTTTATAATGACTTTTGTCTGTGTCAGAAACAGCTGTGGGTTAAACATGGTAAACTCATCATCATTGTGTCAGAACCAGTTCATAGCCGATTCTCCATGGGCTTTCCGAGGCAGTCACTGAGAAGGGAGGGCCCATCGTTCTTCCTCGGAACAGATATGGTGTATAGCCTTTTGATTCAGTTAGCAAGTGCTACTCCATACAGACTATGCCAGCAGAGGTTGGTGGCTTGGACCTCAAACCACTTTGTGTTTAAACATGATGATTTTTTACTTTTTTATTCCATCTAAGGGCCTCAAGAAACAGTCCAAGGAGGATTTATTAGTCTCATGACTGTGGAGAATATTGTTGGTTTTTTTAATAGTTTCAACTCTATAGTCATCATGTTCACATACTAGCAGACAAAATTGAAAATGGATCCATCGGCCTACATGCTTCCTTCCAAAGATACATCCTAGAAGTTGGCACGTATCATTTCTGCTACCATACTATTGGTCAGAAGGCAGGGAAATCTAATCTTTATATTAGGTGCTGTACTCTATCTCGTTGATTAGCAATTGTGCTTTTTATTGCAAGTCTTAAAAATCACATAGCATATGTCCTCCAACTTTTTTCTTAAAATGTCTTGTTTGAAGTAATCAATGCCAGTATTTGTGTGTTCACCACAGATCAATGCTTCCAGTGCCACCTGCAGTAGGCCCAACTTTTAGCTTTGAATTGGATGTGGAAGATGGAGAAGTTGAAAATTATGAGGTTAGTAGGTTAACTGAATTAGTTTGGGGAGTTATGTACGTAATAATTAATCTCTTACTCATCTGACTTATACATGTTAAACATTGGTTAGGCAGATACTTTGTGCATTTTAAGATACAAATCAGTCAGTCAGTTATTGCCATCAAGTCTGAACCAGCTCATAACCAGCTCATTGTTGCCTCTTCAGTGGGTTTTCAGAGGCTGTAAATTGCAAAAGAACTAAGAGATGTGTCTTGAAAAGTGCAGCCAGAATGCTCCTTGGAAACAAGGGTGATGAAGCTTTGTCTCACCTACTTTGGGCATGTTGCTAGAAGAAGGTATTTATTGGAAAGAGACATTGTCCTTGGAAAGATCAGCAAAATAGAGGCAGCCCCTCAACCAGATAGATTGACACAGTGACTACTGCAGTGGGCTCAAGTATGTCAGAGGGGATGAGGATGGCACAAGATAGAGGAGAGTTCCAGTCTGTTGTTCTGGAGTCACTGAGAGTTATCCGTGACCCACTGCAACTTCCTACAAACAATGAACCACTAGCAGTCACATAAGATACAGCTGTGTAATTAAAATACGATTTTAAGTAATGAGATTATGTTTGGCCTCCATAACGGTTGGGTACCATACACCCATGATAACAAGCACCATAACAGCCAAGAGTTGCATGCAAGTCCTGTACAACAGTGCTGGTGAGAAAAAGTGAATTGTGCTTGGATATTCTGAATAATGTGGTGGAAGCTGTCATGTTTGAATCTTGAAGATTGGGGAGGTATTTTATTGCATAAGATTGAGTCAGGGAAGTGCTTGTCATTGTTGAGGAACAATGCATAAAATTGTTGGTGGAAGTGAAAAGGAGAGGATGAATACTTACTTGAAAAGCTCAACCAATTTTCCCTTTCAGTTTGAATATTGTGAGGGGAGCAAGTATTAGATCGTTTTGTGCTGATAACATCAGTTCACTACCTTTCAGTCATAACTCTGCTAGTAGTTTGAAGGCATAGAAGAGAATGATAAGAAGGCGGTAACAGAGAAACCTATTTAGATTTTTAGATCTGTTAATAAGCCAGGCAGTAAATTATAAAAGTGTACAATTTCTGAACTTAAGAACTGCAAAGAGGAAGAAGAATACAGCTTTAACAGACATAACACTAGCATCCCTGAATGAGTTACAGTGACTTCCGTGGTGAAGGTGGAAGAATTATAAAAGAAGATAGTCTGCAAAAGAGGACTGCAGTAGACATTGAAGGAGAGCAGCATCAGAGATAAGGTTGCTATGAGGCGCACATAGTCAACTTGATGGCACCTAACAAGATAAGCAGTAGAAGAGATATAGATGCGAGGATCATTGTTACCAACACCCATTAAATAGAAATGCTCCTTTTTTTTTAAACTAATTTTAATGAACATTTACAGAGATTTTTTTATTTCCATATATTCATTGTTACATTTTTCTCCCTACCCACCCCTCCCCCCAGTTCGCTTTTCCCTTTGAAAAGTAAAAGAAAAATTATTTCATTGGTATAGAATCCCTACCCCCCGAAATACTCCTTTTTAATAGCTAGTAAGAAGGTTTGTGGGTTGTGTGAAAGAGCCAGCAATTTAGATAACCCAGTTTCTTTAATAAAATTCTCCCCAAAGCGGAGTTAAAGCTCACGTAACAACTTTCACAGCATTAATTACTGAGATCATACTAAGTTAATTCTACTTTTCTTACCGTCCATCACCTTTCCTTTCTTCTTCATGTTTTAATGCTATGGCGGCCAGAGCAACAAGGAACGGCAACCCATTAAAGATAGATTAGTTTGGATATAAAGAAATGTATGATTAAAGTCATGGAAACTGAGAGAAAGCAGTCCTGATATAAGAACTATCATGCTATTAACAGTTTCTAGAATTAGAACAAGGAGGTTAAAATCTGTGCATTCAGAGTGTTCTTTAAATAGGGGGAAACCCTCATTTCTCTTATATATCCTGCCTTTTTGACATATATTGTACTTAATAAGTAAAGTTTGATATGTTGCAGTTGATCAATACGAAAGTACTTCAGCTAATATATGAAGAAGTAAAGAGCAGAAGCAAAATTTCCATTTTGCCGTCAGAGGCAGTACGATTGGCACAGGATAGAGCCGGGTTTAGGGCTGTTGTACATAGCGTCGCTATGAGTCGCAAGTGACTTGACGGCACATACCAATGAACCTAGGAAGTGTTCTGCAATGGCTGCTAACTTCACAAATAGAAAACCAACTAGACATGATAGACCTTATGGAAATAGCAAGACTGTATAGATTACCAGTTGCTAGGATTTCATAGCAATCGGTAGGAAATACAGAAGACAAGGGATATGTTAATACTACGCACAGGCTAGCGGTGGGAGATTCAGTCAGCACAATTGAAACTGCCAGACCAATTGTCTGACATGATTTCTTCAACAATACGAAAAGAAAAGGGGACATATGGGGGACATACCTGGCAGTGTCAAAACTCATTGTTGTCAAGTTGAAACTACTTTATTCATAGCTGACCCTTCTGTGGGTTTTCTGAAGCTAAATTGCAGGGGCAGAGCCACTGGTGGCGCCTTGGATTAGCAGCATGGTCCCTATAGACTCTACCAGAGCTCCCGAGCAGTGTTAGTGTATGGGTTTATTTGGATCCTTATTTGAACAAACTATTTTAAAATAATTGGAATAGTTACGGACATTTCAACACTGAGATATTTAGAAATATTACTAATTAAGAATTAGTAGTTTTAGGTACGATAATGTTGTGAATATGGTTTTTGTTCTGGTTTTTAAAAGTCTTTTAGTACAATGATTTGCAACCAGAAGTCAGTGGCTCCCCACTCCCAGAGGAGGGAACAGGTATTTAGTAATGTCTCAAGGGACATTATTAGAGTAGGGACAAGGTTGGTACAGGTATGTAGTGGTTAGAAGCTAGGGATCATTCTAGACGTGTGGTACAGTACACAAAGTTAACTACACACACACACACACACACAAACCTGCAAAGAGTTATTGAACCCAGACAGACAAATTCTGTTTTACAGAGAATCATTTTACCAGTGAGAAAAATACCTTGTTTTTATTTTATTTCTAAATAATCTGGAGTTTCGTAGTAGTAATAAAAGATGAGCCATGACTAGATCCATTAAACTTATTTCTCTAGTATTTACATATATTTTCATTTTTCCATAATAGAGAGTTTTAATTAATGTATTGGTTTTGGGGTGGGGGTTTTTTGGTGGTTTTTATTTTTCCCAGAAAATTTTTTAAAATCATAAACTGTTGCCTTCTGCAGGCCCTGCTCAACCTCGCAGAGCGACTGGGAGAGGCAAAGCCTCGCGGTCTAACAAAAGCAGATATTGAACAACTTCCTTCTTATCGATTCAATCCTAACAACCACCAGTCAGAACAGACTTTGTAAGTATTTTGGGGTTGGTTTTTTGTGGAGACTTTTGTTGTTAAGTTCCATTTTGGGGTTATTTTTTGAGACTTTTTTTGCATTATACTGTGTTAAAAAATTATTTTCTATCTTTAAGAAGTAAAGCTTGAGCATCAAAAGAACCTAACACCCAGTTCTTTACATTTCAAGCTGTATACCTTTGTTCAGTAAGGTACCCACTGGTCATAAGTATATCAGCAAGTGGGAAGATAGCACAGGACAGGACAGGTTTCGGATCTGTTAGTCAGAGAGTCACTGTGGGTTGTACTCAACTCAGTGGCATCTAACAATAATAGTCATATGTTTTTATTTAAATTGACATTAAATTTAAAATCAAGGTTTTTTGGTCACCCTTAGAACCATCCTTTTGTGAGCTGTAGATGTAGAACATCTCTCTTCTCTCAGAAAGTTCTCTGCCCTGTTGGAGATGTATCAGTTATTTAGATATTGCATGGTTTCTGTCTGAGAAGTAATGGCCTAATCCAAGGTCATGAGAGTTTGTCTTTTCTTCTAAATACACATTTCATCCTTTCATGTATCTTGAGTGTGCTTATTTTATGAAATGAGGGAAGTATACAACTTCCTACTTTTGTGTGGATGCTTAGTTGCTCCACAACCATTTACTGAGTATGTTAAGGGGGGTGTGGATAATATCCCTGGATTTTTTAAAATTAACAAAGCAAAGTATTATTGTACTTTCAGTTAACACAGTGGGTGGGTTCTTGGGTAATTTTTGTGTAAAAGCTAAAATACTGTAAGTACAGTGATAGTTCACTTTTGTAGGCCTTAGTAGTTGTGTGTTACAACAGAAAACTGACCCAAATAAAATATTTTTAATCTTTTTGTTCTCTTTAGGTGTGTAGTATGCATGTGTGATTTTGAATCAAGGCAGCTACTTAGAGTCTTACCCTGTAACCATGAGTTCCATGCCAAGTGTGTTGACAAATGGCTCAAGGTAAATGGGTGGCATCTGTGAAGAAAATAACACTGTAGTATTATTTTCTGTCTTGTTTTTTCCTTTTTTTCTGACTATAGGTAGAGTCATTGTACCTTAACCTTTCCTTGGGTTTTGGTGTAAATTTGCACAGCACATTCAACAATTTCTGCACACATTGTTCAATGGCATTGATTATAGTCTCCACACTGTCAACATTCTCATTATTTCAGTTCATGTTATTACAATTCCAGTAAGCTAGTTTTTCTATATTCTTACCTTATCTTTGTTTTAAAGTCATTAGTTTTCCTATAGATGGGGTTTTAAAGGGGTGCAGTACTCACGGTGGTAGTCATTTTATTAACTAACCTAGTTTGCTAAAAATAACTTGAAGGGATGACTGTTGTTCACAGTTAAAAGAATATCTCAGGGAAGTTCTCTAGTCTCAATCAGTCTAATAATTTGTAAAGAATTTAGCTCTGCTCCATATTTTTCTACTGTTTTATCAACTTATTTCCTTCTGTTTTGAAAATAATAAAACTGGGTCATGTAATTTCCACAGTTTGATGAGAAAGGCATACAAGAATGAAAATAAAGTCTTATTGACCCTTTGACCCTTTGAATGATCATAGACAAAGATACCTAGGCTTGCCTTAGGAATCCTCAGGTCTTCTCTAAGGAGAAGAGCTAGGGGCACCTGGATAAAAGAAGAGAAATCACTTGAAAGCTACCCCTTTTTGGGGCAAAAATCAGATTGTAGGAAGTAAAAGATGAGCTGCTCCTGTCTTTTTGTCTTCATATGGTGCTCATCTATTGACATGGAGAAATAAGAGGTTTAGGAGTCAGAGAAGCAGTGGAATAAAAGCTACAGTGTAAATGTGATTGTTTATTTCATAGTCAGGATTTCTTAAGTAGGACTGTGTGTTTTCCAGGACTTTGCTTCATTTAGAGTAGCCAAAGCTGTAAATTCACTTAGTAAATTTGTGTGAACTAGCAGTGGGTGATCTTGTCACTCAGTTGTAACAGACCTAGTGAACAGAACAAACAAGTCTTATGTCATCTTAGTCAAGTTTGTGTGGGGTTTATTTTAAAACATAAATTAAGTGATTGTACCTCTTTAAAGAGCATAAACTATAAGAATTAGAAAATAGTTGCATTGCTTTATGTTTTATTGTTAAAAGTCACAGTTGCTAAGTTTTCTTTTGTTTTATAGGCAAATCGAACTTGTCCAATTTGCCGAGCTGATGCTTCAGAAGTGCATCGGGATTCAGAGTGACCCACCTAAGAGCACAAATTTTGTTTGGGTGTTCCTTATCACATGTATATACGGACTATCCAGTGAACTTAATCTCTGTGGCTTCCAGCCCTCCCTTTACCAAAAGGGTCAATGGACCTTTCTTTGCACTGTGTGACTTAATCAACTATAAAAGCTTACAATTAGTCTTCACAATTATGGGATTGTTATACTAACCGTGTGATTGGAACTCCAAAGAATTTCTTTAGCTTAATTTTGTGTGTGCACTAACATTCCCTGGTTTTTGTGTGATCATTCCGAGTGTTGCTGCAAGATTACAGTGGACGTGATCTTTTAGCATGTGCTTTTATAAAAAGTGGTAGCTCCAGATGATATAGCAATCTACCTTATATAGAGCCTTCAGAAACTGTGAGTGGAAATGAATGCAGTGGTATGCCTGTTGGCAATAAATGTCTCTGTGTGCGAGAGAGAGAAAATGTGTGCAACTACTTGTGTGAGGGCATGGTAGCTAATGTGTGTATGAGATCCTATATACCAGCATGTACCAAGAATGTGTGTGTAGTTTTAATTATGCTGCAATGTATAATCTGGTGTGTTATTTAAACAGCACTAGTACTGTACACTGGTTTTTTTCCCTTTTGTGTTTGCTGTTGCACACTGACTGCTAAGGGTGCATCCATTATGAGCATTGAAAACTCCATTCCCTTCCCACCTCTGAATGGAATGAGAAAAGCCTTCTCCCTTTGCTGTAGGCAGCTGTCACCTTCTCTTCATTGGTGGTCCTAAATGGATCACTTAAGGAAAAAGTGTAACAGATTCTCACTCCGTGAACCCAAGTTTTTTATTCTGTTGTGGAAAAATTTTTAAATCTTCAACTTGCTGTTTCCAAAAAAGAAGGTGCAATATCATACATCATCAGTTAGCAATATTAGCATTTCAATCAATGATTCGAATGTCGATACTTTGTTTTCCTTTACATTTCCGGTAAGCTTGTTACAGAAAGTACCTGTGATTAATGTTTTTTTTTTTAAATGTTTAGATATGTAGTCTATTTTGAAGATATTTGAGTAATATATTTCTAAGAATGCCACTGGTCCCATGAAGTCTCACCTCTTAGACTTCTTCCAGAACAACAGTTAACTCAGCATGACTCCTGAGACGTGTTCTTTGTTCAAGCTCCCAGAGACAACTAAATTGCTAAAAGAAAACTCTTTCTTATTGTATTAACTCCCCATGCTCCAATTTTGAAAGTTGTCTAGATCTTCTCTCAGTAAATGTGCTTCTCATTGAAACCCTTGTGTCTGAGATAGATCAAGTGCTGTGACAGCTCTTATTCCTTAGTCTTTGTTTTGATGGTTTTACTGTTTTTCCTTTATATTCTTGTTTGAGAAAAGTTCAATACAACAGATGTCCAGAATGCTTGCAGTATAAATGAAGATTTGATTTTTGTATAAAAAAAAATAATGCTGTGAAACAGGAATTGACCTTCATTTAGTTGATCTGACAATAATACATAGCTGTGTGTGTGTTTTTTTAATAGGTTCATTACGTATAATTAAGATTGTTTGAAGTCATTTTTCCAGCGATGTTTCAATTCCCTTCATCTGTTAGTGTATTTTGCATTGTCTGCCTCTTTCTGGTGTCATTGCTTTGTTTGCAATAGCACAAGCAACGTAATTCCAAGCAGGACTGTGATCCCTTGCTGCCAGCCCCACTTCCACTTGGCCCTGTGTCAGTTTTCCATTCAGTGTTAACTACTTGTTACTGCCATGCGGCTTGCCCTCCCTCGAAGTCGCCATAAGCTTATCACAGCCTAGAGTTCAATAAAGTCAGTTTACACAGAAGCACAATTTTCCCCTTTTCCAGACACTGTTGCCTCTATCTAGTTACACAAATACAATTTTGCGCACTTTGTGTTTGCCCATAGATTTGTTAGTGCATCAGAAATACATCTTAGCAGTGGTAAAATGCACTTCTATTTTAAAATCAGTAGGATAACCCCACTTGCTCCTGATGAACAAAAAATGTGTTCAAGACCAAATTATTGGCATTAATAATCAACTACATACAAATCACGTATAGTTTTAACCTTTTTTTTTAATTAAAAAAAATCATGTTTAAAATGGCAAAGGCCCATCTTTCTGTAGACTTTTATATAGCTTCAAAAATTTATAACTGTACAGATCTAACGTAACACTACTACACTCAGTATTCATTTTATTGAAGCATGCAAGTAAAGCACTTTTTCTAATTTATATAGAAATACCAACTTAACAAGGCACATTGTACTAATGTCTAGGAAAAGTACTTTTTTCTTTACTCCCTCCAATTTAATTTTTATCATAATAACCCTTTCCCAGTAAATTCTTGAGAGGCAGTTGGCAGTTTAGGAGGCAGTGGGGTCTGTTTTGGTAAAATCTTCAGTTTGTTGCACTGTTGTGCCTGATCTCTCTTTGGAAATGTCTTTTCTTCGCATGGGGCTCTTAGAGCTGTATGCAGACTCAATTATGAAGTGTTCAGTACATATTTGGAGCACACACGTGTTCTAAACCAGCTCTGGTGAGCAGCTTTTTGGCTAGCAAAAGAGGAAGTGCAGTTGATTGAAGCCTGACTTTAGGTGATGCACCAGATAGCAGGCTTGGTTTGTTGACCTTCCTCTTTCCTTCTAAAACAATATTGGCTTTACCATCTTAACTCTGCTGTGGGTTTTTGTTTTGTTTTAGTTTTGTGTACAAATTGTCACCTTTGGTTATTACTTTATTCTCCTCCTTCCCCCACCAAAAACAAAAAAAGGCCTCCAGGTATCAAGATCTCATATTAGGATATTCTGTCCTGAATTTTTTAGCAAAGTCTGGAAAATGTGAACACATATTTAGATTTTATATGCTGAGATATAATTTGTTAAGATTCTTAAATTTGGACCTCTTGTAATATTTTGACTGAGATCTACCACCTCACTTGGAATATCTTCACAGACATCTTTAGGCCTTCATTAGGAAGCTGTTACCCCCTGTGGTACATCTGGTTACCTCATTTTGCAGTTTGTTTCAGATTATGAAAGCTTACAGGGGTGTTTTTGGAATCATTTGCTGAGTCGTTTTCTCAAATCATATACCATTGTATCAGTTAACATATAGTTTTAATTGTACGTATTATAAATATCTGTAACCAAATCATTTGAAGGCTTGATAAATTTTTAACAAAGTTTGTACATTTTTTATGAAAGTTACTAGTAATGCTTTACTAAGTAGTGCAATGAATTTTTATTTTTAATCCCTGTGCCCAATTTTGGAGTTGAGAGGGTTGTTGGTAATAAATGTATGATGTACACTTAAAACACTTTGTTGTCTTTCATGTTACCATGTTAGGGAAGGGTAGGGGTTGTTAGGTCTATGTGAGGGGTAAGGATTCCAGCAGGGAAGATAGCGCTGTTGCGTTACCAGGTTTAATATGTGGCATATGTCTGATTTTGTTTCTGAATTTTTGTAGACAACTTAAAGACACAAAAGCAACTAGCATTATTCAATACAGTACATATTTATATTTTTAAAAGGCAGTGGAAAATCACTAAAATTATAACCATACATAAGGTATGTGCTTATTAAACAGAAGTACATCCATAGATAGATAGACAAATTTGTCCACTTTAGCCACTGTTTATGTCACCCTGTCAACATAATGTGGAAAGGAGAGTTTGCTTGTCATTTTCCTTACACATTTTGTGTAATTGCCTTCCTTTTGCAAAAAGGAAAATAAAAACTTTCTACTTACACAAATTCTGACTGTGTTATTTGAAAAGCAAAACAGAAATAAAATTCTCTCTACTCGTTTGGGAAAGTCATTCTTTGATATAAGGTGATGTGCTCTTATTAGCTCAAGTGCTCAGCTGGCGTAAGCTCTGAGGCATTCTGAAAACTTCTGTCCTCCTTCCTAGGCTTCTTAAAAGACTTCTGTATAGAATTTGAAGTATATCAGTTGGACCATTAAAAAGATAACCGTATTGGTGAGCCTGTGAAGTAACTAGAGCTTTTCATATACTGCTGATGGGAATATAAATCTATGTAATTACTTTGGAAAACTGACATCTATAGCTGAACACTTCCTTCAGAAGTATACTCAGCTATTTAGGTATTACCTTTTCAGTATATATTCAGAAGGCTGAACTTTATGAGGAGGAATGTGTCATCAGGATTGAAGGAAGGCAGACTCATCAACAACCTGCATCAGGCAGGTGATACAACCTTGTTTGTGGAAATGGGTTGGGGGGGAACCTGAGGTCTTTGCTGCAGAAAATCAAGGACGGTAGTCTTCAGTATGGATTGAAGCTCAGCATCATTGGGGGGGAGGGTGAAATTCCCACCATTGGGCCAGTTGGCAGCATCATGCTAGAAAGAAGAGATTGAGACTGTTAACAGTTTCCAGTTTGGTTCCATAATCAGCATTCTGAGCACCAACAGGAAATCAAAAGACAAATTGTGTTGGGAAAATCTGTCCGGGACCTCTCCAGAGTACAGAAGAGCAACAATGTCATTCTCGAGCCTAAAGTGCGTGTGATCTAAACCAAGGTCTGCAAATGCTGTGCATCAAAGAGCTGGATAATGACAAGGAATAATGAAGAATCGATGCCTTTGAGTTGTGGTGCTAAGATGAGTATTGAACATACAGTGGACTGCCAAGAGAACAAAGGGATCTGTCCTGCAGAGAGAAACCAGGCTGCTCCTTGGAGGAAAGGATTTTGAAGCTCCATCTCACATACTTTGGGCATATTGCCAGAAAGGGCCAGTCCTTGGAGAAGGGCTTCATGTTTGGAAGGGTGGAAGGACTATGGGAAAGGAAGACCTTGAATGAGATGGATTGACACAGTGACTAGGGTAATGGGGTAGGTGTGTCAGAGACAGGTTGGCTCAAGATAGGGCAGGGTTCGGAGCTAATGTACATATGGTCACTGAGTCGCAGGAACTGGACAGCACATAACAATACTCAAATGCATACACCCCATGCTCACCTTTCAGCCAGACAGCCTATATTAGGTGACCAGCAGCACTCCTTATACTAACCATGTAGCATCAACAGAGCCGTATTTGCTCAAGGATAAAAATCTCGAAGGGATAGAAGGATTAATACAAGTGGGAGAAAGGAGAGACTTTTGTAATCACTGTTTTGAAGCAAGCTAGGGATTTGTGGA